ATGTCACTTGATGGATTGTTTCCTCAGAGTATGGCCAGCCAATCCATCTCCATTTCTTCCTGCCTATTTGTTTCACAATCGGTTCCTGCTGAGTTGGTTCGCTCCCAGAGATCCCTGTTGCTGATCTTTTCTGGCCGGCCATCTGATCTTGAGTGGTATTGAGCGAAGACAACTGTTAATGAAGGTCTGTAGTTTGTTGAGATGCTCTTTATGACGCGCTGGCCAAGTCTCTGATCCGTATAGTAGCACTGACTGACTTCACATTGGAGTTGAAAATCCGGATGTTTTTTATTTTGATGCTGAGTGTTGTTGACCTCCACACAGACTTGAGAGTAGTGAAAGCTTGTCTTGCTTTTCCGATTCTTGCTTTGATATCGTCGTCAGTTCCGCTGGCCTGTAGTTGAAACGATGCTTCCCAGGTAGGTAGGTAAAAGAGGTTGTTTCTTTCAGGTTCCTTCCATTTATGCTGATTGTTGTCTGTTGTTGCTGTTGGTGGTGTTGCCCAGGAATCTTCATCCCCTCTGTTTTCATCATCATCATCATCACCACTGTTTTATCTATGTTCACCTGAAGTCCTATCTTTGATGCTTCTTCTGCTAGCTTGTTGCTTTTCGCTTGCATATCTTCCAGTTTGTGGGAAATCAGACATATATCATCGGCGAAGTCCAGATCCTCCAAGTTTTTTGTGTGTGTCCATTTTATGCCTGTTTCCTCATTTCCCACTGTTTGTCGCATTATCCAGTCTACTGCAATCAGGAAAATCATTGGTGATAGTAGGCAGCCAGCTTGTCTTACTCCTGTCCTCACTTCGAAGGGTTCGGTAAGTTTCCCATTGTGGATTACTTGGCATGCAGCATTGTCGTATAGCTGTTGGATGAGATGTATAATTGTCGGTGGCACCCCGTATTAGTGAAGTAGTTTCCAAATCACCTCTCGATCGACGCTGTCAAAGGCCTTTTCAAAGTCGATGAAGTTGAGATAGAGAGGTGACTGCCACTCCAAGCTTTGTTCAATGATGATCCGTAATGTGGCGATCTCATCAATGCATGACTTGTTCCTCCTGAATCCAGCCTGTTCCGGTCGAAGGTTTTCATCCAGTCGGCGTGTTTGATTCTCTCCAGGATGATGCGGCTTAGTATTTTGCTTGGGATGGACAGGAGCATAATTCCGCGCCAGTTCTTGCATTGACTTAGGTCTCCTTTCTTTGGTAGTTTGAATAAGTATCCTTCCTTCCAATCCTCGAGTACTTTGCCTTCTTTCCACATCTTCTCCAGTAGTGGCGTCATCAAGTCCGCTGTTGTCTGTGGGTCCATTTTCAATGCTTCTCCTGAGATTCCATCTAGTCCTGCGACTTCCCCAGTTTTTAGCATCTTGATTGCCTTCAGGACTTCTGATTTCGTCGGGGGATTGGTGTTCACTGGTAGCTCTGTCTCCGTTGTTGGTATTGTTGGGCGCGTTGTAGGTGGTGGTCGGTTTAGGAGTCTTTTGAAGTGTTCAGCCCAGTGTTTCCTTTGCTCCACTTCTTTGGTGAGTGACTTTCCATTGTCATCCTTTATTGGCTTAATTTGTGTCAAACGTTTGCCCGATAGGTACCTAGTTGTTTGGTAGAGTGTTGCGAGATCTGCTTTGGCTGCACTACAGCTTGTTCTGCTTCACTTGCCATGGTTTCATAGTACTTTCTTTTATCTTCTCTGGCACTCTTCTTTACTCTTTTGTTCAGTTATTGTAGCTTGCATTCAAATCCTGTTTTTGTTGCTCATCGGTGCACTGGAGAATCATTTGTTTCACCATCCCTCTCTATTCTATTAGTTTCCAAGTGTCCGTAGTGAGCCATTGTTTGTCCTGTCTCTTCTTTCTGCCTATAATTTCCATGCAGGTTTGACTCCACACTGTCTTCAATTTGTTCCAGTGCTCTTCGACGCTGACCTCTTCGCCAGTGTTGATTGGTGTCTCGGCCTTGTCCTTTATGCTTGCAGTGAAGATGTCCTTTGTGTCCTGGTCTTCCGTTTTTGAGTGTTGAACTTGGCTTGTGGTCTATCTGCAGCCCCTGATTCTCTGAAAGCTTTTAATTTGATTTGGATTGTCCCTTGTACGAGATAGTGGTCTGAGCCAATGTCTGCTCCTCTTCTTACTTTAGTGTTCAGCAGGCTGCGCCTCCACTTCCTTGAGATTGAGATGAAGTCGATTTGGTTTTTGGTTCGCCCATCTGGTGACACCCATGTAGCCTTGTGAATATCCTTGTGTTTGTATACGCTGCCACCAATCACTAGTTCATTGAAGGCGCAGAAGTCGGCGAAGAGTTCTCCGTTTTCATTCATTTCTCCGAGAGCTTCTCTACCCATGATGAGTTCCCTTCCTGTGTTGTCTGGTCCCAGTTTGGCGTTCATGTCTCCCATAAGTATTTGTGTCGCCGACTGGAGTATTGTCCATTGTTGCCTGTAGTTGTCTGTGGAATTCTTCTTTCTTTTCGAGGTTTGCGTTGTTTGTCGGTGCATAGCATTGTATAATTGACACTTTCCTTCCTTTGGAGTTGAATCTGGCGGTCATTATCCTGGGTAAGATCGCCTCCCATTGCATCAGTGCCTTCGTTGCCATTGGTGACATCATGATAGCCACGCCCTCGGTGTGCGAGTGGTTATCTTCTGGGTGACCGGAGTAGATCACTGACTCACCCGTTGACGCATCGATTTGATACAAGTAATTCATGATTAGAATTTTTAATATATTTGTGCGTTGAAGTTTTTGTAGCAATTTCGTCAAGTTTTGGGGGTGGAGTTGCTAGCACCACGCCCCAACCCTCCCTCTTTATCCGGGCTTGAGACCGGCTAGAAAGCTAGTGACCTAGTAATCTAGAGTGTGTCGGCTGGGGATCGAACCCCGGACCATGTACATGGTCGGCGAGAGGGCTAACCGCTCTGCCACCGACGGCGTTGCCCGCGAAGTAATTTGTAAACTACTCAAGTACTACGGCGTACCCCAAATATTCATCAACCTTATTCAACAGCTGTACGACAACGGCACATGTCAAGTGATCCACAACGGAAAACTCGGCGAGGCGTTTGGAGTAAACACAGGAGTCAGACAAGGGTGCTCATTATCACCAATGATATTCTTAAGTGTGGTAAACTGGATTATGCGTCAGACAGGGGGAAACGAGAAGACAGGGATATCCTGGACCGATGTGAAGAACCTAGAAGACCTGAATTTCGCGCGTGGATGATTTATGTTTGATGTCACACAAAATCGAAGACTTACAAGCGAAAACCGACAAACTGGTCGAAGAAGCAGCAAAGACAGGACTCCAGGTGAACATAGACAAGACGGAGGTTATGAAAATAACCAACCAACAACAGCAGCAACATCCAGCGCCAATCACCATCAACGGGAGGGATTTGAAAGAGGTTACTTCTTTCACTTATCTAGGGAGCATTGTCTCAACTACACGAGGAACGGACGAGGATGTCAAATCGAGAATCGGGGAGGCGAGAAAAACATTCATCAACCTGAAACCAATCTGGAAATCTTCGTCACTCAGCATCAACAACAAAATTCGAATTTCCAATACAAACGTCAAGTCAGTTTTGCTATACGGATCAGAAACTTGACGGCGGGTCACAAAGAATATTTCCAACAGCCTGTTGCAGACTTTTATCAACAGCTGTCTTCGTTCTAAACTGAAGATCAGATGGCCGGAAAGAATCACCAACAAGAAACTATGGGAACAAACAAAACAAGAACCAATCGTTCAACAAATATGCAGGAGAAAGTGGAGATGGATTGGACACTCGCTAAGGAGGCCGCTGGCTGACATCGCGCGTCAGGCCATAACTCGAGTGGAACCCGAAAGGGAAGCGGCGAGTGGGACGTCCAAGGGTGACATGGAGGAAATTGTGTGAAGAAGAGTTGAAACAGTATGGTGTAACATGGATGCAAGTGAAAAGTCCAGCAGAAGACAGAAGCAAGTGGAGAAGTGTAGTTGAAGCCATATGTTCCACTAGGAACCCAAGGGAACAATAATAATAATAATTGATGATTATGTCCGTATTCTTATCTGATAATGCCTAATCTTTTCCGCGCTAACCATTATAGAAGATAAGGTAGTCTTTTAACAGCCATAGTAGCATAACGTGTCTACTTCATGCAGAAACCCAAATGGGTTATTTTTCTAAAGTACTTAAACCGATCTAGTAATCCGTATTGAAATTAGCCTGGATTAGTTCGGAATAGTGCAATGTGCAATGAGATTAGTTAATGGTTAAAAGTGGAAGCAGAGAGAATTGGTTAGTTGCATCAAGGCCAAAATTTTTCACCTATATCATAGTAAACGTGTTAATGAGTTTTTGTTCCCTGACTTCCCTGAACTAAAGTGTCTTTCGCAATTCTAATAATTCGCCTTAAACAATAGAATTCTTACTTTTCAAGGACTAAACGAAGCAAGAAAACATAGTGAACATGTGAGATTTCTAACTGCAGGGTTTCAATAAAGAATTAAATTTGGTTTTTGAATTTCTAAGTCTCTATGAATGCTGTCGTAGTGATTTCAGTGAGTTCTATGCTCATTATCATGTGAAATTGTGACTTTCGACTGTTAGAATATCTCAAATACCTCATCATCAGCACAAACTCCTGTATCATTCATTCCTGGTGTATTCTTAAGTGTGTTTCCAGTTCTGTTCATCTCTTGATAGTGTTAGTAACCACCATTAGACAGTGTGTATTTTAAAGAGTGTTACATCAGTGTTGTCACCTATTTTTCGTGATAGGTGGGAGATAGTGTCATAGTTATCGAAGAATTATTTGCATTCCGGAATTCCTGTCTACTATGAACTTTATTGTTTTGTTTGACTTATGTAAAATCCGTCTAAAAACACCGGATAACGGTTTATACAGTAACTTTAAGAGATTAAGCGCCGGCTTCTAATCATCTCAGAAATGCATATTAAGACAAGCATAGGAATCCAGATGTCCTTTGCAAATGATAAAGTCATTTACTAAATCCCATTGACAGATAACAACAAAACTTTATACCAAGAATATGCTTACTAAAATGAGAGAAAAAAAGAGTCAATCAATAACTGACGATACCACTCTTAGTGTAAATATGAGCTACAGAATAGGCAAGTGCATAGAGTTTACTCTCTGCGCTTCATTGGTAATCCTGCCACTATGTTCGATTCAATTCCGCATTCATTTCGACCTCTCAGTATTTTGAAATAACCTTTATCACCCCAATCATCATTCCATGAATTGGCGCATAACCAGTATGGAATGTCCTTGTAAACACCCCAACCGAGTATACGTATAGCATGTCCACCCACATAGGAACCAGTTATATGCTTGTAGACACCAGATTTATAGTTGAAAAAATCGTCATAGACAAATAGAGCACCTTCAACAGGACCGTTTAAAAAAAATTTCTTTCATAATTGAAATTTCGTCACCGGCCACGTTGTAAGATGATTTACCTGAAAAATGTGAAATCCATATAACAGATTACAGAAGGCGTTATTCCCACAATATACAGAGTAATCTGAACACATAAATTTTGTTGACATCATTAGCTACGCTTAATATTTAGAGAAAAAGTCATTCATCAAGTATTGATTTGTAGGGATTTTTGTTTGACTGGTTGGAAGACTTCATCATGAGCTGATATCGATTAGAGAACCACTGGAAACCATCAGGGAGTACTGGACATCTGATTCATCCTAGTGTTTGGGACTCTCCCACAGCAGTATGCACCCACCACCAGGGTTCGAACCCATGACCTACTTGTTACAAGACCAGAGAGTTAGTAGACGATTAGACCGCTCGGACCTGATCCAATGTCCAGCCCATGAATTCCAACTTCTCCCAATTCATGACATAACGTGATTGGCTGACTGTTAAAGAAGGCACAAGCCTTTCACTACACATCATCTCTGACTGAGCACTGAACTCCTTCGAGAATCTTACAAATTGATTATTGAACAAAGAATACTGTTATCGATAACTACATCACCAGCCTTTACAGTTATATATACATAAAAGTGAAACAAGTAGTGTTATTAACAACATTAATGCTGTTGAAATAACGTCGAATCAATCATATCAACAGATTACAGTTCAGTAGCATCAACAAAACAATAAACTGAATGTCAGAAAAATTAGGAAAGATAATCATACAAACTCATGAATTTATAGTCTCTGCTGAAAGCCATCCAGGGTAGTGGTAGTAGTAGTGGCTTCTTCTGCACTCAGAGCACCGGTTGTCTCAGGCGAATCATGATAGCCTTTGCTGTTTGGAGTATGTGGTATCTGGATGTTTTCAGGGATTTATTTAGTGCCCGATAGATAATAGAGAAGGATCCTTCAATGGTGGCTTTGTGGCCGGTTTGAACCAGATTGTCTAATATTGAACTATCAATGGTTTTCAATACACCTTTACTTAGCCATACTGGGAGATGTTCTCGAGCTCAAAAAATCAAGTTCCTAGAGCAACGGCCGATATAACTCGCTCCACAACAGCAGTTGAATTGGTAGGTACAATTGGAAGTGGCTAGCTAGTCTAGGTACTTCATCTTTCAGTCGAGGAATCACCACCGGTCGTGTGGAAAATAAGTTTTGTAATTCGACAGCATTAACGGTTCTTTGAACTGATTTTCTTAATTTCTTCGTAATTATTTCGCTTGGTATATCGCCCTTGAATTGCAGTCATATGTATAAAGGCCTTTTGTTTACGGATAGTGAGTAGTTCTTTTTCAGCTTTCCCAGTCATGTGTTTCCTGGTGAAATTGGCTGGACAGCTATTTTCGATCCATTTGAAGTTTATAATCGATACGAAGGAAACTTAATATGAATATGACTCATGAGAATTTATTACTCATTATCACATTTACTTTGTAATATTGATGTTCAATTTAGTACTACGATTTTACATATTATTATTATTATTATTTATTCCTTCAGGTTCCCAGTGGAACATAAGGGCCTTCAAGCTAGAAGCTTAAAGTTCCGGTAGCAGTGTTTATTTTTACAGGATGTGGTTGCTAGCCCCATACACAACCATTCTTCCTCTTTACCAGCTTTATTTCTGGCTCAGCGAGGTGAAGGAGTGCGTCGGCTGCGATTCGAACCCCGGACCATGTGCGTCGTCGGTGAGCGCCCTAACCGATGTGCCACCGACGCACATTTTACATATTACCACATACATATATTCGGGAATATAATCTGTTAGCAATCTAACTGCAAATAACTTTTGAAATTCTGATCTAAATGATTCAGTGTTACTCTTTCTAAGAAAAAACCCACTAATGTTGTGAACAATAATCATTGTATCATTCATTATAATGGACATATTACTAACTGTAGAACCTGATGAAGAAGAAGAAGTTATAGTTTGTCAACAGATGATGTATCGATGAAACAAACTGTGTAATACATTATTCATATTACTCACCGTAGAATTTATCGTTTTCATACTCTCTTTCATATCCATACTGACAATAATGTTCACATTCAGGTGTGTCATATAACTGACCTCTACATGGTGGTTGTCTTCCTCTAGCTGAATGGTGACTACATTCTGGAAATGGATATGGCTGACATCCTGAATTTGACTCATTTGATCCACCGGTTACAATACCCTCATCTTTCCAGTAATCCCATGCCATTCCTGGTATGCCACCTTGACAACCTAAGCCACATCTTGTACAACAACTCAGTAAATTAACAGCACTCAGCTCCACTGATATATGATTGTGAGAATGAATGCAAATGCGATCACTCATTGCTTCGACAGCACCGAAAGCCTACACAATAATAATAATATTAATAATAATAGCAAAATGCATAAGGTTGGTTTGTATTATAAATATACTCCATGCGTAAATGAGTAGGTTAAATAGTGGCTTTTAAGGAAACAAATTGGTTATATAATCACAATTATCAATGAATATACAATCCGAGTGACACGTAACCCTCCATAATGACTTCAATATCACTTCGAACTTTCTAGTTGTATAAAGTAGATTGACACCGAAGTAAATTCGATGAAGAATAAATAACAACTTGAGAAACCCAAGAGAAATTTGAGAGTTAATATATGTCTAAAACTTGGGCACTGTGATAGTAAGTAATTCCATATTGGTTTGTTTATTAGATGTATCACACAGTGAAACACTATTATTGTTTACTGGATGACGTTGTGAACACAATCTATTATTGTTCATAATCATATCATCAATTATAACACACACAACTTCGAAACTTGACTTTTGTAGTTCTCTTCTATTGATCGTCTTTGGAGTAGTAGAATTTTCCAGATATCCGACTGGACAGGTGTTGAATCATTCCTATTATATGTGTTTGCAGTTGATTCGATAACCAAACCCCGTTAAGAACAAGGTTGAGAAATCCACAACGGACCTCATACGTCGAATGAAGCCGTTTCCAGGTGAGTCTAAATGGTTTAATTTAATGACCAAAACTAATAACCCCAGTAGGGTGTATGGTGTCGTTAAAGTTCATAAGTCAGGATACCCTATTAAACCTATAGTTGATTTTAGGAATTCGCCCACCCATGAATTATCTAAATATTTAGCCATGATATTAAATGCCCTTAAAAGCCACTCAAAATCTAGACTAACAAATTCTTATGAACTAAAACATAGATTAGATAATTTAGAATTAGATAATGAAGAGAAAATGGTCAGTTTATATACACGTATACCAATAGATATGGCTAAACAGAATGTCAGAAACGAGTTAGTTTCTGACCAGGAACTCGGACTAAGAACGAAAGTACCACTTGAGGACATCATGCTAGGAGTGCAGCTATACCTGACTCCCACAGTATTTAAATTTCAGGGAAGAATATACAAACAAACTGAGCGAGTTTCCATGGGGTCACAAAATATCTCCAATTGTGGCAGATATATTCATGGATAGGTGGGAAAACATAGAGATTGAAACGTCCACCCCCACCCCAAAAGTATGGTGGGGGTATGTAGATGACACATTCACTGTACTTAAAACACAGGATATAGATGGATTTTTCGAACATGTTAACTCAAAGGTGAAGGCAATTCAACTCAATTATAAATTGGGAAGTCAGGAAAGGGAACTTCTAATGTTAGATTGTAGCGTAAAAAGAGATAAGATGGGAAGTTAAACACTGGTGTTTACAGGAAACCCACACATTCAAACAGATATTTGAACTTCCAATCATCCCATTCTATGTCAGTAAAAATAGAATTGGTGAAATGTTTAAGTGACAGAGCACAAAAGCTAAGTAGTACTAAGAAAAATCTAAGAAAGGAAGTGAAGCATATAAGAGAAGCTTTGAAACTTAATAATTACCCTGATAAAATAGTCAGGAAATATGTAGGGAAATGTAAAAATAAAATAAATAGTGATAGTAGTGATAGTGATAATAATAATAATGAAGATTATGATGATAATATTGATTATAGTAGTAATATTAATGACCACATGCATGTCAAACATGCGCAAGATAATGACAACACCAACAATAAGGAATCTAAATCATTAGTAGTAATTGCATACAAGGAAGGAACCTCGGAAACCTTATGCAGAATTCTTAACAAGACAGGAATAAAAGTGGCTGGCATTCAAACTACCCACAAACTCAATTAGAAACAAGCTCTGTCGGTTAAAGGATCCTGCGGCGCAGCGCATTAAACAAAACAATTTAGTTTATCTAATACCCCGCCTGCAATGATTGTCAGGTTAGATACATAAGTCAAAGTAGTAAAACAGGGGTAGTCAGACTAGCCGAGAATAAAAACCTATCAGCGAAATCTAGATTAGTTGACTCGAATAAGATAAGAAATCTAGGAAATATTTCAGCTATAGCACTCACTACATGCAATTACACACAACCATACAACAGGATGATAATTTTTAAATCTAATTTCACAGGGTGGAGGGAGAGTTTGGTAATATAAGCTTTGTTTATCGAATCGACTGTAAACACGTATGATAGGAATGATTCAACACCTGTCCAGTCGGATATCTGGAAAATTCTACTACCCCAAAGACGACAAATAGGAGAGAACAAAGAGAACTACAAAAGTCAAGTTTCGAAGTCGTGTGTTTATGATTGATGATATGATTATGAACAATAATAGATTGTGTTCGCAACGTCATCCAGTAAATAATAATAGTGTTTCACTGTGTGATACATCTCATAAACAAACCAATATCAAATTTGAGTGTTGTTCTCTGTTATTTCAAGATTACACTGTGGACCGAGAGACAATTTAAAATTCAGACTACGTATTTGTGAATTGGTAGTGATATATCGGACGTCTCACCTAAAGAAATGACAGTTTGATGCTAGATATCGAATAAGACACTAGTGAACATTTCTTATATAGGACTAAATATGCTCATAAAAACTTCTCAACTTGAAGTGATTATTTAATAAATATCAGTAAATGATCAAAACAATCACGTTCTCCGTATACTCATGGAAAAAGTCTCTGGAATAGAATCTCACTTGATAAGTCACCATTAAATTGTAGCTTAATAAACAGAGGTATTTTACGTGCAGTCATAGTCTCAGGTTTTCTCTCTGATGTTTTCATATGTTTCTTTTTGAAGCTACTCGGATAGCCAATCTCTGTCAAGGAATCGTGAAAATATTCAAATTCATTTTGTAAGAAGTCATCCATACATATCTTTCTTGCTCTCCTCGTAAGACATTTAACATCATTCCTTTTATATTTAATGGGCACGTAACTAAGCAACTGTGTGTGTATTGCCCTGTGAATGTGCTTGTCTTTAATAATTCAAGCCCCTTGATGATGTCTTTCAATTTCCCGTTTTCAAGTTTTGCGAGGAAGAAGTCACCTAATATTGGACCCAATGGTGAACCCATTGCTATTCTATCTACTTGTCGCCAGTATGAATTACTGAAGACAAGCACATTCACAGGGCAATACACACACAGATGCTTAGTTACGTGCCCATTAAATATAAAAGGAATGATGTTAAATGTCTTACGAGGAGAGCAAGAAAGATATGTATGGATGACTTCTTACAAAATGAATTTGAATATTTTCACGATTCCTTGACAGAGATTGGCTATCCGAGTAGCTTCAAAAAGAAACATATGAAAACATCAGAGAGAAAACCTGAGACTATGATTACACGTAAAAACCTCTATTTATTAAGTTAAAATTCAATGGTGACTTATCAAGTGAGATTCTATTCCAGAGACTTTTTCCATGAGTATACGGAGAACGTTTTACGCAGCACACCTATGTTTGTCATTCTCCAGCCGACGAATGATTGGGACGCAAACGAAGGATTGATAGCTATATAGTTTTGCCCCATCTATGTGCATTTATCAATTCAACTGCACCTGCGGTGACAGTTATGTTGGGTGTACTACTAGAGAGCTTAGCCAGCCAACGTGTTCGTGAACATCTTCCATCGTCGTTTGGCAAAGGAGAGACAAAGCAATCCGTAGCTCAATTTTGTCCCATTTAGTTAATAGTGGTCATGTAATCGAGAAAACGAGAGCCTTCAAAGTAATTCATCGTATTCCACCAAATCTTTCCAATAGACTTCGTATTCGTTTAATGCACACAGCTGAGGCGATAGGCATTCGAACTATTAAACCTGAACTGCACTCATTCAAACGAAGTTTGTACAGCCATTATCCCTCCCTTGTTGGCCTGTTAAGACGTAATCAAATGATGACTTCTGCACCACCCCTTGCTAATATTTCCAACCCCTCTCTTATCATCCCTTAATTTTATCACATCTTCATTAAAAACGTGTCTCATATACTTCCCTTACAATTTAGCATTACTCAATTGGTTCATTTGTTTTTCTTAGCCTTTATCGGTTACTTCTACTTGAACATTTGTTTGTTTAATCATTATGTTTCTAGTTTTTCATGTTATCACACTGCCTCGCTTTTTCATCCTTATTATTGATAAAACCATTATTATCACTTTCATTACTACTATTATGACTAATTGCACAATTTATATTCACCATCTGATTATCCTGTGAACAGAACACCATGATTGGTTTATATTTGAATTTTTATTTGTAATTTTATTTACATTAGAGTTCAGCCAGATGAGATCTATTTGGAAAGATTAACAACAACGTGACAGTGACAGAAGGAATAAAAAGAACAGTTCACTCAGAGTTCCGCAGTAGGTTGGTAATTTCCTGCCTAACACACTTCTCTCATTACATAAAATGTGTGGCCTGCCAAATAAAGTAGTGTCGGCTTTCGTACTTAGCCATCCGAGCATACAGTCTTGTATACTTGTTTCTAGTTCCCCAGCCCGAAGAGATGGAAACGTGGAGAGGGTTGTGAATAGAGGGGATGTTCGGAATCTGTCGAGATAATAATTGGCAATCTCTTACAGGAGTCCATGTGTCAACCGTCTACAGTAGTACTAACACGTTGGTTTAGGAACACCCCACTCACCCTACTAATGGCTTTTGGTGCCCCACACAGTATAGTCAAGTGTTTCTTAAGTACATCGGGATGGCTAGTCTGGGGGGCGCGGCGAGCAATAAAGAAGCATAGGAAGAATACGAGAATTCACAAACGGTAACAGTAGAGACGGAATGACACCATATCATCTTAACTTCCTTACGTGGAATGTCAAAACGAAATGTGTTTCTGGAAACTAACGTAATGTGGGAAAAACGGGAAAGGTGATCAGAGGAGATACACAGTCCAAGGTACTTGTCATTCGATTTACTTTCAAATTCTTTTTCATATATGATAGATGAA